AGCAATGAGACAATACCCAATTCCTGATTTGAAGTGCTGCATAATCCAGGAAATATTTGGCTATAGAGACATATTTTGTAGGAGAGATCATAATGAGGCTGAAAGATTGCATATTAGGTTTCAATTGTCTATTTTGGTGTGAGATCTCACAGCACATTTTGAAAATGAAGGGGAAAGTTATCATGYACCTTGCTGAAACTTATATATTTTTTGATTGATGCCTTAATGTTGTATTGGTAGGTTCCTGCTGCAAATGGCAAAGAACTGAATCTGTCTGTCCTGAGAAAATAATAGCATATTACTTTTTTGCAAAGTAACCATGCAAAGGTTGATGAAAATTTTCCAGAATAGTTTTCTGTGGCTAATGCTGTTAAGAAGATTTTATTATACTGAATTTTGTGTTGAATTTTTCTGATGTGAAAGAAGTCATAAAGATGCAACCATAGGACTAGGGGAAATAACTTCCAACAGAAAGAGAGTAGGTATTAGAAAGAAATTCTTTACTTTGCATGCAGTGAGGCACTGGAGCAGGTTGCCCAGAAAAATGTGGACTCCCCATCCCTGGAATTGTTCAAGCCCAGGCTGAATGGGACTTTGAGTGACCTGGTCTAGTGGAATGTGCCCCTGCCCATAACAGAGTGGGTGCAACTAGATAGTCTTCAAGGTCTGCTTCCATCCCACACCGTTCTTTGATTCTATTATTTTCTTTGGTAGTGGAAAATTCAAAGTTATTGGCAGTTCAACTTTTTACAGGCAAGAAGATTACCTGTGGGCCCATGTGGCTGGCTCTAATATTGTCTTGCTATTTTCTTTGTGCTCCATGATATTGTTTTTCACTTGGTGTCTTTATAAGGGCAAGAGGACACCAGCAAATTGAATCACACCCATCTCTGTAACAATTAAGGGGTTTTCAAATAATAGTAACAGCTTAGTTATTACCTCTCAGCCTACTCCCCACACATGAGGCTCTACCTGAAGTGGCTTCACATAAATGTCACAGGACAGTCTAAGTACAACTTGTCTGGCTTCYACTGAGTACAGGAAAGGTTCAAAGAACTGCACCTTGTGAAAGCAGGTTGTTGGACACTCCTTGTTTCAGCTTCTAGTGCCACATGGAAACTGCTGAGAACYAAACTCTTTTCAGTAGCTCCTGCCTCTTCCCTTCAGCTTAGAAGGGAGTGGCTTTTCCAGAACAAAGAAATCCTTCTCCTTTCTTGCAAACCAGAGTAACATTTCCAAGAGTCTTCCCAGAGACTCTCTTTCTTTTTATTTGAGAAGAATTTCTTGGAGATTAGTCAAATTAGCAAATATGTGGAGAGAGAGAAATAAGGAATGAACAAGCAATGGGGAGAATCAAACATTGTATTTCTGTGTTTCTTCCCAGGAGAAATGCAGACTATGTTAGAGTTAATCACAGGATCATCTTTTGCTCCTGATTTTCAAATGTTTCATTTTATCCCATAATATACAGAATAGCACAAATACATTAACARGAAAATGCTGATAGGACTTCCAGCACTTGATAAATAAAATCCAATTAGTCATGGACAGATATGAATCTTCTTTCAACTAATTTGAACACATTTTTCATTTATTTGAGATAGATTTTGCCCTGGCTGACTTTACAGCATTGTTGTGCCCTGCTGAACAGGAGCTGCCTTTAGCCCAGAGTCAGTGCCAGACCTGTGTCACACAATTCGACTCCAGAGGCTGCAGAGGCAGAGGCAGCAGGGTCCAGCAGAGACCATGAGCCCTGGGGAGATAACCTGCTCTCTTATCTGTGCTCGGGTCACCTGTGAGCAGGCTGTGACCTGGCTCTATGAGTGTGTGCTGGATGAATGCAATGAGGACTCTGGGAGGTGCCAAGAGCTTTGTTCTTTCTGAACCTGCCGATAGCTGAGGCATTRCAAAGAGCAGGGAGAGGCCAGGTCATGCCCTGTGCTCCTTTACTGTGGTATTATAAGTATTTTTTCTGCTTTGGAATCCAAACACGTTGATACCCCTTGAGCAGCTGCCTGTGCAGAAGGTTGGTGGAAAAGTCTGCGGTGGCAGAAAAAGAGGCATGATGTTATACTGAATTATTTGAACAGGTTAATGACACACACGCACATGGTGTCAGAGCATGGAAAGGCTTCCTTTTGATTTTTCATTTTTTCATATACTGCCAAGTGATTTTAGGATGAAAGGAACAGTATAAATATCAGATGAAATATTATTATTACTTTTGTTATTTTCATACTACATCTCCAACATTGATATACAGTCTGAAAACTACAAATGAAGTACAGATATATGTAAATATGCTATATCAATATCTGAGGTATAATTGCATCCTGAATCTATTTTACTCTACAGTTGAACAGTTTTGAGGATGTCAACCTTCAGGAGGTAAAACTGTGCTATTTTACAATCAGCAGTATATGCTGTGTGTGTAGKCAAGAGAGGCAAGAATTGCCCAGGAGTTAGAACAGAGAATTCAGGTTGTTGCTGGATCATAGCCCTTCTCTGTAACTTTGTCCAGCTTCTCAAAATTATCTAGGCCTATGAAATGCAAACAGGAATAAAAGAGATGTCTCATGCCCAGTGTTGTGACGGGCAGAGGAGCCTGTGCTCCTMTGCAGCTTTTGGAAATTGGTGTATTCCTAGGACTGCTGTTGGTGGGGGAGGTGAGTTACAGCTCACAGCTGACAAAAGCCACACAAGTATTTGTGCTATTTTAAAATCACAAAGAGAGAGAAACAGCGACCTGACCACTTTCTTAGAGAAGCAAAGCTGATCTCTGTTTGGGAGTGTCCCAGGCTCTGCAGCTCCCTTGTGTAGGAGTTCAGCTCTTGGTGCTCTCACTTGCTACTGTTGGACCCTCCCAGCTTGCTGATAATTATGAGGATGGCAACTGGTGAYATCATTCCACTGCCCTAAGCSGTCACAGATTACAAATCCTACAGTYTGTAGTCCCTTTAATTGCCAAAATAGYATAAGAAAAGGTATAGTGTCATTTTAAGGGAAGGCAAGTACATGCTTTGACTTGAATACATGATTTGCTGTATTGCAGAAATCAGTCTTCATTCTATTGAGCTTTTCCAAAATGCATGGTTTCCTGAATTTTATAAAACTCTGAATTTTACTCTGAAAAATACTGATGTAGTGCCAGGTCCTTAAAGGCRATGCAAACAGGACTCTAATCTTAATATAATAAAGCACTTAAGAGAGATTGTAAATTCAAATTTAGGTGTGCACTGTGCTTTGCTGTGTGAGAGCCCATGAAGGACTGGATTGCAAACAGTGAATGGAGGGGAATGTGATTTCRTATCAAGATGCATGCCATGACTGGGGAGTGCTTGTAGTAGGTGTAAATAGATTTTATTTGCCAAAGAAACCATTTACTTTGGTAGATGAAGTCTCTGTGTGGGAAGAGATCTTCTGACCAGCAAATAAATTCTTCCTGTAAAATGGCATTAAAACTTTAATTTGAACCAGGCATCCAACAGACAGAATAGACTGATTACCAACACCATTAGCATTGTTCTGTGTGGTTCTGATGGCAAATACTGTGGTTTTTGCTAGAACAYAGACTTCCATTCTTCAGCCATCTCATTCAAAGAATGCTGCATATTTTCATATAAATAGTGACTTGATGAAAAGATGTGCTTCATTAAATACTGTAAATTTTTGAAAACATGTATGTTCAATTCTGTATCATGCAGAAGAAATTGAAACATTTTGGTCATTGCTTTTGACTTTTAAATTAACTCAGAAAGTRTTAATTACTTTTAGTATAGTTTTGAATGTGCTTTAAAATGCAAAAGCCAGTAAAAACTTTTCAATCTTGCAGAAATTAAATGCTTAAATTATGGGTTGTTTTTTCCACAGAACTGCTTCAGCAAGAAAGTCATAGCTATTTTCTTCCCTTCGTTTTCTGAGTGTAAAATAAAAACAGAAATTCAAACCAGATTGTGATCAGAAAATAAGTGTTAGATCACAATGCTTCTTGCCACTCAGTTATTGATACAAATTCAAGCTATAAATGATGTAATGCCTATTATGAAGTGAGCAGTTTAATTCAATGTTTTTAGATATGCAAGCATACATACAATATATACATCTATATATACATACATATATATTTATATATATATATATATATATATATAGTTTTATTTTTCAACATTTTTGTTAGAAGATGAGTGTTGCATTTACTCACTGAAGCATCTCTGGCACAGGATTTGTAATGTGCTCTAGATTCCTGCCTCAGCCTACTTAGTGAAGCAGATACTCCTGCCAGTCTGATAGTATCTAATTACAGAGCCGAGGGGTGCATAATTCAGCAGAACACTCTGAGATGCTGAAAGATGATATTCTGAGACAGAGAAGGGCATATCAGCTCTTGATTTAGGTCACACAAGCAATTCAGTACTTTATGAATAACCTGTTGAAKGCTATACCTGAACATAGCAAAAACATTTATAAATCTCATAGGTGATAAAGCCTTTCAGCTTTTACCSTAGTACTAGACCAACAAGTTTTTTACCAAAATTTCCCTGAAGAATTATTTAATCAACATCCTTGATACTTCTTTGCAGGGCAAACAATGATATTTCTTCACTGCCACATTAGGAAAAAATAAAGGAATAAATATAAAAGTGTCTCTCTGTACACACCTTCCACTTGATATCTTTCCGGATCACTTTACAACTTTCCATTTTTCCGTCTCTTCAGCTGCTTATTTGTATGCTGCAGGGACATCACCGTCCTGATGCTTCACCAGATAATGACTGTCTGTACCTGTGCTGCCAGCCTCTGGTGTCTGGGAGCAAACAGCATTAGAGATTAGAGTYATGGAGGAACAAGATCTTCCACCCTGTTGAATAGTTTTGAACTTCAAAATGAATTGTCACTCCAAAGAGGAAGAAATCATGAATATGTGAAATTTTCTATTTAAGTAATATTTTAAGAACTCCTTTTTGTTACTTATGAAAACAACAAACTCCTCTTCCWTCAAGCAACCCATGTGTAATTACTAAAATATTTTGCAGTATTTATGTACAGTACTTGTCTTTTATGTAGAGGATGAGCTAATTCTCCCATTTGGAATGTGTGAACAAYAACCTGGAGGAGAGTCACTACTGCAGTAGCAGTATAACAGATTTTCARCCTAGAAAATGGGCTAGAGAAAAGAAGCCCATTTTCATAGCACTTGTTCCTAAAATTGAATTTCTGACATCCATTCAAAAGAAAAAATATTGACCTATCACACTGTGGTTCCTTTCCAGAATGGTAGATGAAAGCCATGGTTACATATGTTGGCAATTACACTTCCAGTCCTCTGTAAGTGACCTGTGAAATGCAAATATTTTTCCTGAGAACTCCTTACCACAGGAAGAACCTTGTAAACACCTCTCTAAACCATGTATACTTTTCACAAGGATTTTTTTTTTTTTGTGTTTAGGTACTAAGATAAATCATGACTGGTTATATCACAAAATCTGCAATGGCATCTGCCTAAATTAACAGCTATATTTTTATAGGTTTTGCCTGATATAGATAAAAAACTATCTATTTACCCAGGCTTCACTTTCCATACAGTGCTACAGTGTAGTAGAGGTATCTTTTCTATTTATTTTCTAACATGTGTTTTGACACCTGGAATCTGATAAAATGATTAAATATGGTTTGCTGAATATAATGGATCATTTGGAAAGCTTRGAAGTTTATTACTACCTTTTAAAAAAACTGTAATTTTAATTATATTTGAATATAATATTTTCATTTAGAGTAATGATTCTCAGGCTTCTTGAAAATTTAGCCCTCTCTCTTGGACAAACTAATCCCTGTAGTGTTTACACTATCTAATTGTTTTCATCCTGGAAAGGAAAGAAGCAACATAAACTTTTACATATGGAAAAAGGTAAAAGTGGGCAAAAAGTCAAATCTGAATTGTATTGTGAAACTTTTTCCAGCCAGCTGCAGTAGGTTTTCAATTGGACATCCAAAACACACAAAATATACTTTTTTACTATTATTTGGATGTTTGAGTGATTTTTTTATTGAACTACATTAAAAATTAGGGTTTGTGTTTTTACGATTCCTTTTTTTTCCCCCCTTAAATAATGTGTTAAATAAAATTAGTCAATATTTGGAAGCTATTAACACTTTGCTTCGTGTAATGGGAACTATTTTTTTTTTCCAGGTCTCAGCATCCCTAGAGTTTGGACGCATAATAATTTATACTACCAGTCTTCGTGTTGTGAGAACCACTTTTGAAAGATGCGAACTGGTTAGAAAGATCTTTCAAAATCACAGAGTTAAGTTTGAAGAAAAAAACATTGCTCTGAATAGTGATTATGGAAAGGAACTAGAGGAAAGATGCAGAAGAGTCTGCGAACTTCCCTCACTCCCTGTTGTGTTTATTGATGGCCATTATCTTGGGGTAAGTAAAGCACAAACCAATGTTTTATTCCATGGTTGGGAAGAACAGATGAAAATCTTGAGGCATGAGAAGCTGGATTTTTTGAAAATGTTTAAAATTTTTTGAAAATTGCCTGCAATGCTGGAGTGATGGCAAAAATCAAAGACAGATCCTTTTGCAGCATGTGCTGTACAGATCCTCACTGATAAATTTGATCTGAAGATGCAGTGGGTAACCATGGAGAGACCATGAGAAGGGGAGCAAGGTGCAATAATTAATATCAGATATCATCTGTTTCTTAAAAAATATCCTATTTTGTAGTTAAAACCACAAACATCGAGAGAAATGGATTTTTTTCCCTCATGAGAACCTGCATGTATGATTGACCCAGGAAGATGAACTCACATAGCACAAACCTGTCATTTAGTAATACATGTGTTGATTATGAAGTTAACACCATGGGGTGTCAGACTTTAAACATACATTGAATTTTAGATTGTGTAGTCTGTATCAGGATCTGTAATCAACTGAATATTTTTTTAGATACAGATTGGTTAATACTTACTTCTTTTAAAAAAGTTTAGCTGTAAAAGAGAAAGTAAAACAATCCAACTCTGCTCTTTTGTAAGACTTAAACTCCAAATGTAAAACTATAATCCCCATTTATATACTAGAATTCTAAGACTAGAAGCCTCCTGATATTTGAAATCACCTTTTCATTGAACCTGTACTTTTGAAATGTATTTCTCATAGACTGAAAGAAAACCAAAAGAAAAATATTCGGGAAAGTGTCACAAAGAAAAGAGCTGGGAGCTCAGAGAAGTTATTTGCTGGAGTGGTAAAAAGCTAGCAATTAGCACCAGCTGTGAGATTGTGATTTGTGAACACAATCTATATTTAAACATGGTGAGGTTATTGTGTTTGCAACACTTAAAGCTTTCATTTTCACAAGATATTTAAGTAACAAAATGCAGTGTAACTAACAATCAGGGATAACAGTTATTTGGCCTGTATGAACACTTTCTCCTCTTTTCCCCCATCCCTTCCTAGCTTTCCATGTGTTYTGCATGACTTAGGTTTCCCTGTGCAATTCAACAACTGCATTTGCTGTCACAGGCCTTGCCAGACCACCAGAGCACCTACAAAATCCCGTGTGCAGAGCACTAATAAACAGCGATTTTTACTTCACAGTGGATATGCTTTTATCAAAACTCTGAGTTGGAGAGTTCTCCAGCTGGCCAGCAGCAGAAGTGCTGCATTCAACAGCTCCTTAAAATTCCACAGGATTCAGCCTAATTATCATGTTAGAAATATAAGTAGTGAGTTATGATTGACCTCAAGAAAATCTCAGTTCATAKATGATCAATGTGTCAAAAGAATTCAGGTAAGATACTGAAACTGATTAAATAAATKATTTGCTTAGCTCTAGGTAGTGCCTGGATACAGTTGTTTTACTATGATGGATGGCCCATTAAATCACTGGCAGTTGGTTTTAATCTTTTTTTTTTTTTTTTTAAGATTGTGAGAAACTTATCTTTTAAGAGAGAAATGACAGCATAAAAAACAATGAAATCTCATTAAAACTAAGTACTRTATGAGATACTTTGAAGAGGTGTAGAGAAGGCAAGTGAATTAGGAAGATAGCTTYCTGTGGGAGAGACAAATCTACCTTCTATAGGTAAAGTGAAATAATTTAGCATTCTGATCTACAGACATTTATTGCAGCGAGGCAATTGCACTTATCTTGTTTAGCACAAGAAAACTAAAAGCACTGGGCTGCAAAAAAAGCAGGAAAATTCCCATATATGGGGTGTGTTGTCTTGCTTATTTTTCTTATTTTTCTTTCTTTTTTTTTTTCTTTCTTTAAATTGATAAGGCACACCATAGTCAATCAGAACAAACTTTAATTTCRTAAGAGGATTAAAGTTATTCCACAGAAGAGTGACATTATCTGTGGAAAGCTAGGTTTGCAGTCAGGGAACAGTGCATGAGATGGTTCCTCTGCTCATGGAGAGCACATGGCTTCACAAGAGAATTTGAAATTCATTCATTTAGAGAAATAGAGGGACACTTTGAATATTGAGGAGRTCTGGCCATGAAGAATTCACACCCCATCTCTGTCAGTTCACCTTCAGAAGGCAGTGCATCATGACCCCAAAGGCAGGATGTTGGCTGGAACCTGTGTTAGGCTTGTGTTTCATTAAAATGCAATTGAGAGCTAATTACAGAATTTGGTCTCATTGGTAACAGTGGATATTTCTATAATGCCTTTTATAATAATTAACTTCTGATATGCAAATGCAACACAGAACTCCCAAAGTCTGGTGTGTCAGCAAATAAACCATGCAATATTTCCTTTTTCTTTTTTTTTTTTCTTTAACTTTGAGTATTTATTTCCTGAAAAATCCCTCACTGAAGGAGATTGCATGTAGCAATACAAAGGGGACTCTATATTGAGCTATGCAGCTTTCAATGAAACATAGGGAGAAAAGAAACCCAACCTGAATTAAAATATGAACAGTTTTAGAAGGTGAAAAAGTATTCTTAATGAGAAAAAAGTAWCAAAAGCCCCAGAACCCAGCATATGTGTATCTGATAGAGTACATGGAACCCAAGCTGTTCAGCAGCATGGGCAAAGTTGTTTGAGCACCACAGGCTGTGGGGATAAATATTCACAGTGCTGTGGGATTTATTATTGCCTGCAAAGGGACAATGAAACAAATCCGTGACTTGGGCAGAATCAATAGAAAAATCATATTTAGSCCCTGTGAAGAAAAGTCCTGCATGCTGTAGTACAGCAGGGCTTTTAATCTCATTTTTTTTCGGGATTGAATCATTGTATTTCTTGACACACACTGTCTAAATACCAGTCTGTCAGGAAATTGCAGTTTCTTTCTGCTGCATGGTCTTTACCAGCTGATCTAATCCCTTCTTTTCACCTGCGGTTGTCTCCATCTGAAATGGAATTATGCCATCTGCTGGGATACCAATGCAGAATAAAAAATTACTTCCAGAAAACAGAAAGGCACACAGAAAAAAATTATGGAGTATTCATTTACTCTTATAAATGCATTCAGATTTGTTGAAGGTTTATGTTATGCGAAGACTCACTCTCCTGGAAAAGTGATGCGAAATTAAAAAAAGGCAAATGAAGTTGTTCTTTGTAAACATGATAACTCACAGCATATTTTAAAAATACATACTTTTTTTTTTACTTGAAATACATGATTGAATTCTAGCATTCACTTGCCATACAAACCTACTTGATTATTTCCATACATGTGGAYTTAAATTTTTTTTTCTGAAGAAAATATTTCCTGTTTAGTTTTCCCAGCTATAATGAATACACAACAGCATAAGATTTAAAGTAAAATTATTTTATTTGACACATGGATTATGATTATTTCCAAAGAATGATGAGGCTATTTTGTAACTGTAAATAAAACTGTTTTTTAGAAAATACATGTGTAAAATATTTTGTGAAACAAGAATGACCAGATTCCTTTTAGCTGATTTCCAGTGGCCGTATATGATTAGCAGCTCTCTATAAACTCCATGTTTTGTTAAATACGTTCTCCTGGTCTTCATTTGATGGGCTGATGTGAATGGCTCTGTGACAGTAAAACTATGATGTAATTACTGTATTTTGTCACCTAGCATTTTCCCACTTGTCTCCTCCATTTCGCAGTTTGAGATGTAAGGAAATGCAGGGTTCAACTGCTTTTTACGCATCAACCTTTCCCCTTCTTTGTGTATCACATGCATAATTTCTAGTGCTGGTATGTATATATATGTATTAAGAAAAAAAATACATATATATATATATATATATATATATATATATATGTTTACTGCAGCGTGGCAATGTTCTCAGTTTAGGGATCGATGTCCAGGCAGTTGTTTGTGCCTGCTGTGTCTGCTGCCAAGGGGCTCTTGGCTGCAGGGATTGTGAGCTGTGGGCAAGGACAGGGGCACACACAGCCCGACTCCCTGGTAAAGCAGAACGAAGAACATGGCAGGGCCAYGTGAAGGAGTGATGCCTTTTTGCTGCCTTCACAAGAGGTCTTGCTCATGTGCTCAGAAAAACAGGAAAGAGGGTACGCAATTTATCTGCACTGCGAATGTGTCCACAAGAGGGATGTTGCAGCACCTCACTAATTTTTCTCAGTATAGGAGGAATGATGTGAAAGAGAGGCTGCTTCCCAAAACCAGCAGGTATTCTAGTCCAGTGAAATGCAGAGCTATATTTCTATGTTTATTCCTTGAAGAAGAATTACATCATGAAAGTGGCCATGGGTTGTATTCAAGATAGGTAGCAGCACACAGATTTATTGACAGGATTTATTTTCAACTGCTGAGGCAGTAGAAAATTTAGTGGACTTGTCCTAGTTCTGCTGCTAATGGGAATTATCTATGGGAATTTAATATCTGAAATATAATGTTAATTTCTAGATGTCCTCAAGGGATACTTGGGAAAATAATTTTGTTAATTAAGATGGTCTGGAAAAATTGTTGAATGATTTAACCAAATCTGTGGCATTTCCTGGCCAAAAGAAGGACAAAGATCTGACTACAGCCCCTGGACTCTTCCAGCGTGGTGGAGGTTCAGCAAAGTTTATCCTAGTGAATAAAGGATTCACAGGCTTCTGCTTTGAAATTTAATTGGCTAACAAAACTGCAAAGACACCTCTCACTGATGATTATCTAAAGATTATGCCCACTGTCCCTCATGTTCCTTATGTTACTYTCTGGAGGGACAGACTATTTAATGCTTGACATTCCTTTGTGAGTAATTGTGGACTGAGCACAACCTAGGAAGGAAGGAATGACTTTCTGGTCGGAGAGCAGCTATTGGATTTATTTAACAGCTGCTTTAATTACTCTATTAATTACAGACTCTGTGTGTTAAKACTCACAGATCCACAGGGAAGGTTAACCTCTGCAGACTTGTTTATATTTCACTTGGGGCAGCCATTAATCAGRGGAGACAGACAGACACACTTAAAAACATTGGTAGCAATTCTGATGTCTGGGTTTTAATTTAAAAACATAGCTTTCTGCTTTGAAAGGGACTCAGCTGACTGACTGAATCTCACCAGAAATACAAATCCTTTWAAATACAAATCTATTATGGGAAACCTGTCGAAGTTTCAATTGCTGTGCAGTTAAAGCCAGTTAACATTATTCTACAGCATCACTGTATCATGGGGCTGCAGCCACAGGAATGCTTTTGCCAGCTGTGGCCATAGGGAGGAGATCCTCTCCTGAAGGGCGCAAACTGAGCTTGTCTAGCTTCAGGAAATCGGAGTGCTGCAATCCCATGGTCAATAAAGCTGYAAATCCTTAATGTCTGGAGGGGCAGCACCAGCTTTGCCCTCAGCTGCTGCAGCACATTCCGGCCCGAGTTAAAGCTCCCTGGGTGCCTTGGCCAGTCCTCKGTGCTGTGCCTGGTACCCCCATTGTCTGCTCTGTGTGAAAGCAGAGACATGAGAGGAGCCRACAGACTGCTCAGAGCTGCTCCACACAGAGGGCCTCGTGAAAATGTTGGACCTGGAGCACTCTGTGCCTGTGATCTATAATGGTTTTGATAGAAAAGTCAGCACAATAAGGCTGGCTCATCAGTCCCCTGTCATCCTCTGTGATCAATTACTACAACTGATTACCTTGTGTGATACTTCTTTTTGTTAAATACGTCTTTGAAAGTATAACACTGTAAGAGTTGTGTCCATTGAAAAAGTGGCTTTCTACATCCACTAAAATATTAACATTTTCATTTCTAACTAAAATGAAAATAATCAAACACAGAGTCAAACGTGCTCCTGTTTTGTACAAAGCCAGAGCAAAAAGATTCTGTTTCTGCAGGGAAAATAACCTTAGTAGGGTGTCATACAAAGGCATTTGAAAGGTTTGGTTGCCTTTAGCTGGCTTTTGGGCTGCACACTTGCAGTCCCCAGCAAGATGCTCTGAATGTTTGGACTCTCAGAGGTATATTGCAAACACACATGTGTTCTCCCTGTGCTCACCAGCAGCTTTTCCAGTACCTCCCAGAAGCCAGGAGAGGTGCTGGTGAGGAACTGGAGCTGACCACAGGCAGCTCAAATTAATGCACATCCGAGACACATACCAGCATCCCACCACACCTCCTAGTTATTGCTGGGAGCAAACTCAAAGACAAAATTTAGCAATCTGGACATGCAGGGACCAGCAAACTGGGACAGCACAATGGCATGAACTCACCATGTTCTCATGAACTCACCAATTGCCCTGGCAGCAAGTGAGGCCTGGGCATCTGTGCCTCAGTTTCCTGACCTTTTGTTGGTTTCTTGTGATCTACTGATTAAAAGAGTCTGCAAGTGTTTCACAATATTTAGCATTCAATGAATTTGGTTACATAAGTGAAGGACAGACATTCAAATGTGGCCCTCTAATTAGAAGAGAAGGGGAAAAAATGTTCCATATCCTCCTTGACACTTTAATCTCGTCTGCATATCCCCTAGCGTTTACTTTTAGGAGGAAAAAAACACCGAGCACTTCAGCAGAGCCTTGGTTCTGGACACRGAAACCCTCAGAGGCCTAATGCAGTCAGACGAAGTTATTATTACTTCTTGTGCTGTCTGATTTCAACGCTGTTAGAGTATTTTCATTACTCTTTTTCTCCTTGTGTTATACATTAAGCACATTATGCCTTAATTCAATGCTCAGATGCCAGGTTATTTGAAATACAATCTCCTCATTTTGCTGCATTCTCTGATGTGTTGTATGTTTATATAATTGTAATTTTTTGGCATGGTAACTAGAAATATTTCTTATTCTGCTGGAAAATGTACCCTGCAAAATAAAGGGAACACAATCAGAATTTCCAAGCTGTGTCACCTTTTACAGAAAAGGCAAGGTGATATGTCACCTGGTAACGAACTTCAAGCATTACTATCAGACCTGTGATTAGATTCTCCTCTCCTTCTAGCTTTACTAAGGTTGACCTAATTRCAATATAATTAATGTGAGTCAAATTTGTCCTCAGCCTGTTTAAAATTTCAAGACGAAATCTTCTAATCATCTCTGGTTTTTTTCATGGTAAAATGACTGACATTTTTCATCTCCTTTTTCCTAACAGGGTGCTGAGAAAATTTTACTAATGAATGAATCTGGGGAACTGCAGGATCTCTTAACCAAAATCGAGGTAACGATATTTCTGCAAATAAATATAGGAAATATACATTTATTACTTGYAATCAAGTAGATTTTCTTCTTTACCATCTCCTTTTCTTGTGCTAAAAACTGATGGCCCCAAATGTCTTTTTTTGTTTTAATCTTTGAAYGAATGATATCAGACTATCACAACCTACTAAGTTTGAGAACACATGAATGATGATAACATTGACCTAAAACWTCAATCTTCCTTTTATCTTGTTTTTTTCATAGTTGGAAAGGGRAGGAATTTTCTCTTTCCCATAACTTTTGACATTGTTTTTGGTATTTCACCTTCACCCTGGCCTGGGGGAGTCATCTGCATTCTGGCTAGACCTATAGCTCAACATCTACAAAATCTGGGTTAATGCTGGAAGTTTCCAATTACATCAATTTGCACAAATTTCCTGGAGAAGCTGGTAGAAGCCTTTTGTCTGGGGAAGAAAAACAACAAGTTTATGATCTACAGAAAAAAAAAAAAAAGAAAAAGAAAAAAATAAGTCTTTTTTTCCATGTTCCTCTGAGTTTAGATTAATGCTATTATTAATGGGTTTGCAGAAATATTTTAATTTTTCTTGGTGGTGCTCAAGGTACTACATTTTCTGTGGGTACTTTACTATACCCTGTTAAAAATYTGTCCCTAATTTTTAGTGGTAAATAATTCCTCAGACTAGAATTAGCAGGAATGTTATGGATTTTTGTTCTTTGTGAATGAACCTGCAAAGTATTTACTCAACAGTGGAGTGCTGAAGCATGTGGTGGTAAGTACCCAAGGTGGTGTGCCTTTCCTTTCCCTGACTTGAACTTTAGGGCGATCATTAAACAAACTAGCCACATTTTCAGCAAATGAAACCTAAAAGTAACTTTAAAATCTCTTCTTGTTTTTTCAATTTTCTTTCATCCAAAAAATAGAGTAAATTTATTATTTCACTTGGGAATTGGGACAATTGAGAGGCCTCAAGCTTTGCTTGAAGCCATTTTCTCCAGTTATAACTATTGAACATTGATGATCTTTCTTCTTTACACTAAGATTTTCAGCACCTACACCCATAAATTTGAATACACCACTTACACACTTGAGTACTACTTGTCAGAAGCTATGAATGGCTTTTTGATATCATCAGCTTTAACTGTAATAAGTATAATATGTTCATCATGAGCATGCAAATGCTGAAAGTCATAACATCTTAACATGAAGCATAGAAAATATAATGTCAGCATAAACTGTCTGGAGTTTGGATTCCATCATTATAATATCTCCTTGATTTAATCTTGACCTAAACAACATCCAAGCAACGTRTGCAAGCTGCCCTTTAGCCAGYTACCTTGGCAASTATAAATGCAGGCAACGGAGGTATRAAGTGACCRATGACCCTGCAGTGGRTCTCTCTGACAGGGCATGTGGATCTGACCAAAGGAAAAGGCAGCCTTGTCTTCCCTGCTGCTTTGCCAGGGGATGRGGTGGAGTGTGTGTGTTTTTAGCTCTCCTGGAGCCCTCGTTGTCCTAGACTTTGTGGTGGTTGGTGAGGTGACATTTCTGTCTTTTTTTCCATTCTTTGAGCAGAGGGTGCAGCAGCCTGAAGAGTGCCGCTCTTGCGGGGGCTTTGGCTTCCTGCCGTGCTCAGCGTGCCATGGGAGCAAGATGTCAGTGCTCCGCAACTGCTTTACGGACTCCTTCAAAGCACTCAAGTGCACTGCTTGCAATGAGAATGGGCTACAGCGCTGCAGCACCTGTGCAGGCTAAAAATGGCATCTCCACATGTTCAAATTAATTTTATGGTACTGCACCAGTTTGTAATATGATTTTTTAAAATTAATCTGTTTATCCAATTCAGTCAATAAAAATCCATTTGTAGTATACTTCTGCTGGTTTGGTCATTTGAACTTTTTAATCTTTGATTGTTGACGATAAAATGAACTCTAAAATACATCTTTCTAGTTTCCTTATAGAGATATTTATAGTCTGGAAAACATATCACATGACGGGATTTCTTCCTTTTTCCACATGGGATSGTCAGCAATAACATGTGTGTTTGAGTAATGCACTCAGAATTGCATCAAAATGAAACTTAACCTTCAGATTGAGTAGTTCTGCTTTCAAAATCAGTGAGACCAAGGATTTAGTGATGTGGACTGGCCGAAACCATTCCACTTAGCACTTCCCTGAAAAGTTACTGAATTCTGTCCTGAATTCTACGTGGCAACACAAGGATGGAAACATTTCTTCAAAGTCCTACGAATTATACTTCTCTTTTAGTACTGCTTTCCATTTGTTATGAAATTATTGTTGTTAGACAAAGTTACATAAACATTCAACAAAGAGGATGTGGGTAACCATTGCAGTATCTCAGAGTTTTTTACAATTGTATATATCMCAATAGACACAATCACAATGTAGACCTTATAATGATTCAGTGAGAACATCTGACAGCTTTATAAATTGTATATAAAGTAATTGAGATTTCAGGTTTTTCAGTAATTGTTGTGGTTTGTCTAGCCTGGCAAAAGTGTTGCTGGTGTCTGTTCTCCAGGAAGGCCCAGGCAACTCCAGAATTGGATTTACCTTTGCCAGTTTTGGTGGCTTTCCCCAACACAAGCACAAGAGAATTAGACAGTGATTAGTCTCAAAGGACTRTGGGCTCTCCACACTGAGTGTATTCCAGTTTGGAAATGCATTGCCATTCATACACATCCACAAAATACTTTTTAACAGGATAGTTTTAGCAGACCACTACCATCTGCTCATTTTGATGTTTCATATCTGTCTCACATTTCTGCTGTAAGTTTTAAGTGGCACAAGCAGTAGAAAGGCAGTAGAAAGCACCTGTCTGGAATTGGTATTGGCTAGAAAAGGCCTCCCTGGCAGCAAATTGCATTAGCAAGTGTTGAGCCATGCCACTTTACGCTTCTTGCCTCAATATTTGTGAAATTTTGCTGACTGGCGTTTAGGTAAGTGCAATTGGCTTTACTGGATGGTTCTTAATATGGTTGGGTACTCCATTTCCCTTTCCCTTATAGCATTTTTTAACTTCTCTGTGATGAAAAACACAGGTCTTCTTTCAGTGTTTTGGGCACAGCACAGCTGTGGTATAAACCAGGATAGCCACAGCTGCATGAAACATGGTTTGCAAAAAACTTATGCATATTCTGTGACATATTGAATGTGCAGGCTTGAAAGTGCTTGTAAGGTCCTACTGGTCCTACAGTTTCTACCTCAAGGCTCAGAGGAAGTGTCTGGATCTTCGGCAAAACCTGAGAGAGATTAAATTTTATATGGAGGCCATCCATAATGCTTAGCAGCTTCCAAGCTATAAAACTCTGAATTGCAGATGTGCTTACTTTTTTACTGCATGGATAAGAAGAAAAGAAAGAAAATCCATTACATCTCTTTTATTTAATAGTCTTGTACCTTCTATTTCTGGCTAATATTGCAGTCCAGACTGGTATGATACAGAATGAAAGGCAGCATAAAGCAAAATACTGATGAATAGAATGTCATCAATTCTGATGCATGAAAACATACTTTTTTAGTTTTTAACTTGCTATGGATRTAGAGGGTGAGAACATTCAAAGCAGTGAATACTGAACTCAAGATGGCATAATCAAATTAGTCCTTGAGGGAAATTACTAGGGAAGGAAATGCCAGTGTATTTGATACTGTAATTGCACAGCCCTCACCCTTGAGAAGACATTGCTTGGTGAGATGGTCCATATCACCATTCACCCACTGAAGCACCACATGACCAAATTACTGTGAATTGTCAAAGGATGTTAAACATTTTCAATTTCACTGAAAACGAAGTTTCTTCAAGGACCTGGAAGAAGGATTTGAAGCTGGTTTTCTTGCCATTCAGGCAATCAGAAAATGACTTCTCTTCAGAGTGAGACAAAGGAACTACATCCCTTTTCTTTCCTGATTGATCTCCAGGGGCCATGAAAGAAACCTAGAGTCTGTCCTAGCCAAGRCTATAACCCTTCAGAGGCACTTAATGTCAATGAGCAAAGATAAGGCAAAACCTCCTTAGCTTTCTTTTTAGAAGGAGAAATGATGAAAGTAAAAGATTGAGTTTTGGACAATCTTTGTTTTTTTCCCCTGAGGGTTTTTATGGGAGACTAGAAGATAATAGAGTAAGAAACAGGACACCTAATTCTGACAGATACAGCATTCTTGAAGCACTGCATATATGTCAATGCACTAGTAAAGATCTTTTCTCTTCTCTCATCAACTGACTTATAAGCTTTTTCTCCCTGGCTATATTTTTCTTGTAGCAGCCTGCATGAAAAAACAAAAGATTTCTATTTTGAAGGTCATATTTTTACTCCTTGTATTTTACTCATTGTATTATTTACAATCTTTGCTAAGGTTTTGGTTCTGGCTTCTCAGCTCTCCCCAGCCATCCTAGAAACACTAAATGTGACAGAATGACAACATTACTAAGGCAAGCCCAGGAGYCAGCTGAGAGATGTAATGGTTTCTAGTATAAGAGATGTATCAGGGAGCTAGCAATACAGCTTTTAAGTCAGTCYGAAATAAAATGAGGTATGCAGCTCTGTTCTGATTTGCACCAGTAGTACATCTTTACTTCCAGGGAATCAGCAGCCGTCTCCTCTCTATAACAAATAAGATTCATCCAACTGCATCTTTGTACAGGAAAATTTCTATTTCTAAATGCATCAATTTCTGCTTCTCTTGTTTCTGGTCCTCATGACAAGGCTGAAATAAGGATCCAAGTAAACATTSTCTGCCTGACAGCTCTGCATATTGGAATATATGAGAGCTAGTATCAGAGACCAAGGTAATCTTGGGCTATTTCCATTGCAAAAGTCTTTTTGAGCTGAAGGAAGAGAATGGATTGGAGTTCTCAGTCCAGTAGACTGCAGCACTCCTTCCGGTGGACTACATTTCTGAGCAGAAGAYTGCTCTTTAGCTCCGCAGAGAATTATGTTGTCCCAGGAGCAGAGGGTAAGAAAATTTCTTCCTCTAAATAATGAGGACTACATAAAGCAGGGTGTTCATCCTCCTCACTTTTTTATTCTTTGTAATCGGTTATTTCAGAGTAATGTGCTTCTCACTTGCACTAAAAGACTAGGGATTATGAATTTTATTTTATATTCACTATTTAATATACATATTTGGGTTTGTTCTGTTGGGGAGTGGTTTGCTGTTTTAACACACCAATTAATTAATTTTCCATGGGAAAAACCTGGGCATTTTCAAAAAGAAATTGTGCATTTGGAAGTTGATTTCCATTCGAACTGTTTTCTTGATGCATTCTTTCTAAAGATACCTAAAACAGATAGACTGTCTTATGTGTCAGCAGCCTACTGTAATAAAATATTTTATATTAATTCAGAATGGTGAGAGTTTCTGCAGGCAGTGCTGCAAAACCAAGCTTGGCCTTTTATTTCAAGCTAAAACCTACATCAGACACAAATCACACTGACCTTCATACTTCTGAAGTTTTCTGACCTCAGACATAGTCCTCCCAAATCAATAATTACCATCCTACTGATTTAAATTCCTGGTCAACTGCGTCTAACTTATCTTCCCTTTACAACTGAAGTGCTGTGAAATGTATAATTACATAATTAATGCTATATTGTGTGTAGTAGAAATTCCTTTGAAAAGTAAGAATATGGCGTGTCTCAAAGCCCTCCAAGATGTTCACTAACTCTGTGATTTATTTCTCCTATACCTGTGAACTCATAAYAGTGAATGAAAAGAATCTGATAGCTCTTGAAATAAGAGAAGCTAATTCAGCTATAAGTAAACATGCATTGTAAGAAAACTCACTACATTTGACTTTAGTGTCCTGTGAGAAAAGCAACAAATTTTTGAGAATTTKGGGGTTTTATTAATGAAAATAAGAAATGAATTTTACTGAGCTGAGTTTCACAATTTTCATGAGGAAATACATAATGGAAGACATTTCAGGTGTTTTTCCTTGCTATTGCAATTGTATAATTGCATACAAATTAATTTTGTTCTCTTATCCTTAGATACATTATTTGACCACAAAAGCATTCAACAAGAAACATTTATGCTCTGAATAATTTAGTAAGGAGAAGAGTTAAGATATTGCTTAGCTTACTTTAAATAATTTAGAGATGGTAGTAAAGGACATTGTAACCAACAATAACTTGAGAAGTATAAATTATTGGGACTAAGCCTCTGTTTAATCCAATTTTTCTTTCTTCTAGCATTAATTTGCTTAGGGATAGTGAATCAGGAAATAATTGCTTTAGAAGGAAATGACTGTAAAAAAGCACTTGCAGTTTAAGCTGTTTCTAGCTTATCAACTCTACTTTGAAAAATTGGTTTCAAATGAGTTAAAAGATTTATCAAAACTAATACATTTTCCAAGCAAGAAAAGCCACACCGCACTAAGATATAAACTGCCTGTGTCTCTTTGAGGTCTCATACTTTTGCCACTGATAGAAATGTCATCTTATTGAAAACAAAGGTTTATTTAAAAGATTCCACTCCCTCCCAATAATCAGAAATTAAGTTCAACAAAAATCACTATCTTTTAGTGGCCTGAAATTTGGAAATATACATAAAAGAAGTATGCTGCAGGGTAATGCTCTTTGCCAGCTGACATAGTTATATTTTTTTGATCTGGAGAAAAAGCCTATTGTGGCAAAATGGAAAATAGTTAGTTATATGACCAGTCAGAAGGGTTGTCTCCAAGTTGCTGTTTTTACTATTGATCTTTGAACATGATCTGCTCAAAGTAGGCAAAT